ATCTAAAATAAGTCATTTTGGACTTGGCAGAGGAAGGGGTTAAAGGTATGTGTGTGTGTGTGTGTGTGTGTTTGAATGGAAAAGAAAACTTTGGATGGAGATGGGCGAGGTAGAAAAGCAGAGAAAAGCTGGGCTCGGTGGCTCAGCCTATAATCCCAGCGCTTTGGGAGGCTGAGGTGAGTGGATTGCCTGAGCCCGCGCGTTTGAGACCCGCCTGGGCAACTTGGTGAGACCTCATCTCTACAACAAATAAAAAAATTAGCCGGGTGTGGTAGCGCGTGCCCGTAGTTCCAGCTACTCGGAAGGCTGAGGCAGAAGGACCGCCGGAGCCCAGCAGGTCGAGGCTGTGGTGGCCGGGAGCAGCCACTGCACTTCAGTCTGGGTGACGGAGTGAGACTCCAACTCAAAAAAAAAAAAAAGGAAAGCAGAGAATGTGAGATGAAGGACCCCAGCTGGAGTGAGGGAGGCACTGGAGACCAAGGGTAGGGGCTGACCTTGGAAAGGAGGGGGCTCCAATTGAACTCGGTGACCACCAGCTATGGAGAGAGCCTCTCTGAGAGCTTGTGTTAGGGAGTGGGCTGGGCCCCAGCCTGCTGCAAGTCTGTGATTCGCCTCAGCAGTTTCTGGGAATGAGCCTTCAATTTAGCTAAGAGGTGAAAGGGAGGGATAAGAGGAGAGGGAAACTGCCCCATCTCATCATAACTTAAGTTTACCTTGAACTAGCTTCTACTTGTAGAGTGATACACGTCTATCTATCACCTATCTCTCTATCTACCTACCTACCTACTGAACTATCAGCTACCAATCTATATCTATCAATCATCTATCTATCAATGTATCTATCATCTGGCTATCATTTATCTATTATCTTGTTTTTTTTTTCTTTTTGAGTCAGAGTCTCACTCTTGTGCCCAGGCTGGAGTGCAGTGGTACACTCATGGCCACCGCAGCCTCAACCTGCTGGGCTCAGATGATCCTTCTTCCTCAGTCTTTCAAGCAGCTGGTACTACAGGCACGCTGCCACCACTCCCAGCTAATTTTTTGATTTTTTGTAGAGATGAGGTCTTGCCAAGTTGCCCAGGTTGGCTTCAAACACATGGGCTCAGGCAATCCTCTCACCTTGGCCTCCCAAAGTGCTGAGATTATAGGTGTGAGCCGCCGCGCCTGGCCAATCTACCTATTATCTATCAATGTATCTATCATCTAGCTATCCATCATCTATCATCTACCTATCTATCATCTATTATCTATCAATGTATCTATCATCTATTTATCATCTATCTGTCTATCTATGTGAAACAAAGGCCAAAGTCTTTCATATTACAAGTACAGAATGAAGCTTAAAATGCAAATAAACAGTCATAAATCGGTTGTAGCTTTTTTAGACTGAATTTTTATGAGGCGAGATGTTTTCCTTCACACTATAATAATAATTGGTGTTTATATTAGCACTCTAGATGTATAGAGGGCTTTAATTGACAACATTTAATTTAATTCACTAAAGCCACATTAATATATTCAGCCAATCATTCGATGAACGAAATCTGTGGAAGAGGCATTTGCAATGATGACAATAAGAAACAACGTACTATGAGGATTCTACGGAACTCAAATCCTAAGCAGTATGGGAACAGCCGATGAATTTTGAGTGTTTCTTTTTTGTATGTTTGTTTTTGAGTCTGAGACTCACTCTCTTACCCAGGCCGGCGTGCAGTGGCATGGTCACAGCCACCGCAGCCTCAACCTGCTGGACTCAGGCGAGACTTCTGCCTTAGCCTTCCAAGTAGCTGGATCACAGGTGAGTGCCACCACACCTAGATAACTTTTTGATTTCTTGTAGAAACGAGGTCTTGCCAAATTGCCCGGGCTGGTCTTGACCTCTGGACTCAGGTAATCCTCTATCTCTGCCTCCCAAAGTGCTGAGATGAGAAACTTGAGCCACCGCACCCAGCTAATTTTGGATGTTTCTATACCTTCATTTGATAGTCTTTTTTTTTTTTTTTTTTGAGTCAGAGTCTCACTCGGTCACCCAGGCTGGAGTGCAGTGGCATGCTCAGGGCCACTGTAGCCTCCACCTGCTGGGCTCAGGTGATCCTTCCATCTCAGCCTTCCAAGTAGCTGGAACCACAGGCATGTGTCACCACGCCCAGCTAATTTTTAAAAAAAGTTTATTTATCGTAGAGATGAGGTTTCGCCATGTTCCTCAGGCTGGCCTCAAACCCCTGAGCTCAGGCAATTCTCTGGCCTCCGCCTCCCAAGGTACTGGAATTACAGTGACAGTCTTTTAATTCAGTTTTTATAAATCTCCCTTGAGTTTCACATTTGGAGGAACTCAGCGTTTGCCACTTTATACCGTTTTTCAGGATCATAATCCCAAAAAGGATTCTGGACCAACACAACAGAAGCCAATTACGTGACCCAGATACCTGTGGCGGAAAGAAATCTTGTGCGCGTTTTCCCTGGTGGGTTTCTGGGTTTCTCAGAGTGACCTGCTAGGTGGGCGTCAACCCATCCCGCGCCTCTCTGCATCTGCCCTAAGACTGTACTAAGTGCACATCCCAAAGAAGCAGGCAATTTAATTGCCCTATACAGGCCAAACAAACAAGAAATACGCTCACCCCACAGGGCATCTCACACTTTTAAAGCTTTAGGACTTACCCGGAGGGTTCGTGTGCTTTGATTCTACGACCAAAGTTGTATTTCCAGGTCTACTATCATTGAGGACCTCTTAAAAACAAACAAAAAAGCTGGGCGCGGCGGCCTATGCCAATAACCTCAGCACACCGGGAGGCTGAGGCTGGAGGATTGCTTGAGTCCGAGTATCGAGACCAGCTTAGGCAACACAGGGAGACCTGGCCTCTGCCAAAATTAAAAGTAAAATTAAAAAATTAGGTGGATGTGGTGGCGGGAGCCTGTAGTCCCAGCTACTTGGGAGACTGAGGAGGATCGCCTGAGCCCAGGAGGTGGAGGCTGCAGCGAGCTGAGATCGTGCCACCGCACTCCAGCCTGAGCGACACAGCGCGACCCCGACTCAAAATAATAAAATGTAAAATGCCGGGTGCAGTGGCTTGCGCCGGTAACCCCAGCATTTCGGATCGCCAAGACGGGAGGACCGCTTGAGGCCGGGGCTTCAAGACCAGCCTGGGCAAGAGCGGGCGACGTCCCTATCAATTAAAAAAGGCTATTTGAGACGTCCATCGTGGGATGGAGAGGGGGGCCCA